GGCCACTCAATTGCTCCCTATGTGTGCATTGACCACCAGGGTTAGATGCTCCGACTAGTAGGTAAGCTTGCTACTGGGATCCCTTTGATCAGGACTGAGTGAGATGGGCCAGACATGCCCCAGAGCCATCCCACGTGTCCCTCCCCGACACCTATCATGCACCATGGGGTTCCTCAGCCTGGACTGTGCCTTCTCACAATCCTGGACCATGGGGGATGTCAGGGAGCTGGTTTTGGCCAGATTCTGCTCATAGCAGGAGCTGCCTCCTGGTGGTCAATGTGCTCCCACAGGAGGAGTGCTGCTCAGCTAGAAGTGGGGCTCACAGCTGGCAAGCATAGCGGATGGTGAGAGCCTCTCCCCCCAGGCCGCAGTGCTAAGGATGTCCAACTGAGACTTAGGCCCGCTCCCCTAAGCCATCAGTCAGACATCCCCCAAGGACTCCCGAGCTGGGAGAGGGCGCAGGCCCGGCTGAGAACACCGCCCCCCCCCCCCCACACACACACAGTGCACGAATTTCATGCACCAGGCCTCTAGTCATTGTATAAATTAATGAAAATTAGTCTTGTTAAATCCTTTTCCTAAAAGGCAGGGTTTCATTCTTCATTTTTGTTTGAAAGATTCACCCACAGACCAGTCTGAAATGTGCTCCTCTGTCCCACCATGCAGCTCTCCTCGAGCCTGTCCGCTAAGCAGTTTCCTCTCAGCTCCACACAGCAGCCACTCCAAGGCTTCCCGACCACAACCTCCCTCTTACCCCTTGCCCCCTCTTTTCCCCACCCACACCCCACTGGGCTCTGCAGGGAGCTGGGGGCTTGACAGGCACCTCCTCCTGACCTATGGCTCACTTCAGGACCCTGCCCCAGCGTGCTCCAAGCCCTTCCCTCCGTGCAGGTGCCCCCACCCGGGGGCTGGTCACATGGGGCTTGGCACAGGGGGCTGGGCACAGGGGGGCTGGGCACAGGGGGGGCTAGGCACAGGGGGGCTGGGCACATGGGGCTGGGCACAGGGGGCTGGGCACAGGGGGGCTGGGCACATGGGGCTGGGCACAGGGGGCTGGGCACAGGGGGGCTGGGCACAGGGGGCTGGTCACATGGGGCTGGGCACAGGGGGCTGGGCACAGGGGGGCTGGGCACAGGGGGGCTGGGCACAGGGGGGCTGGGCACAGGGGGCTGGGCACATGGGGCTGGGCACAGGGGCTCCCTCCTTACCTAGGTGCTCACAGCTCTGCAGCCCTAGTGTGCGCAGCAACCAGCCTGCCTCCCAGCCCCGCCAGCCTCCCAGCCAGAGTCACGCGGCTCCACCCACTGCCAGAGCTCTGGGACCGCCACCTGCCGCCGCCCCAGGCCCACGCCTGGATCCCAGCAGCCTTCCCTCCCTCCCCCCGCCCCCTCTCGCCCCTCCTCCCGCCCCTCCTTCCCAGCGCTCCACCGCCCACTGAGCCACCCGCTTCTCTTCCTGCCAATCTCTGTCCTCTTCTCTGCGGACTCTCCGGGTGCCTCTCCCTCCCCGCACCCACCGGGCCCTCTGCCCGCCCGGTCCTCCTGCGCCCAGCCCGCCGCCCAGGTAAGGACCGCCCGCTGCGCCCCCTCTCCCCGCCGTGCCCGCCGCAGGCAGGCTTTCCGAAAACAGAACCGTTTCAGACGGTAAGGGGGTGCCGCCTGCGGGGCTGCTCCTGGGGACCCTGAGGTGGAAGGGGAGGCGGGACCGGCATCGGGTGACCTGGATCTGAGGCTCCAGCGGCTGGGGGGGAGCTGCCCCTGGGCTGGGGGTGGGGGGTGGGGGAGGGGGGCAGAGCCGCCCTCTGGCCCCAGCAACACCCCCAGGTGCCCGCTGTCCTCCCCAGTGAGGAGGGGCACACCCACAGGACACCCACAGGTGTGCGGGCAGCAGACAGCAGCGCGCCCGGTGCTCCCTCTCCGCGGAGAGGCTCGGAGCACACAGTCCCGCCCTCATGGATGTGACACCGTCATTAATGGCCAGGAAACCGGCGAGCAGACATAAAAATGCATGTCAGTGAGTGGAAAGCGCTATAAATAGGAAAACCAAGTGAGGGGTCCAGGGAGGGGACGCCCTGAGGAGCAGGAGGCGGGGGTGCCTTGCCATAAGGAGGAGTGCTGTGAATCCTTCACAAGTGGGTCCTGGGTAACTAGTTGGGAAAAATAAGTGATGTTGACCAAACAAGAAAAGGATATGTTAGTGGATGAAACAAATTAAATGTGAAAACTAAACCATAAAAATAAAGAAAATACAGGTAAGTATGCATTTGACCACTGAGGGGAAAGGCCTGTCCTAAATGATAACGTACTTGGGAAAGTCACAAAGCAAAGGCCCCACAGGGGTGGCTGTACAAAGTAAACTCTTCCAGATTATAAAACATCGAATGACGAATTAAAAGGTAAACTAAATGACAGTCGTAGAAAACACTAAACTTCTAAAAATGGACAAAAAGCATGAAAGGACAGTTCATAAACAGGAAACTAGCTACAAAGTGCATGACTAATGCTTTGCTTTCTTTATACCAATAGAAATGCATATAAATCATGAGCTACACTGTTCTGATCTGAATACCTAACTGAAGAATGAGAATGCTCAGTGCTTACTTGGGTGTGGTAGGCAAATAATGAATTATTGCCCCAGTTCTGGGATGCTGTATGCATTTAAATGTTCAAAATGTATTCTTCGTGCACCAAGAAAGTAAGAACTATAGATAAGTAATAATAGCTAGCCTCTAAGTGGCATTTATTATTCGCCAGGCATGTTGGAATAGCCATTTCTGTGACCTTCACACCAGCTGTGGGCAGTGGTATTGCTCTCCCCTTCCATGGCGAGTAAAGCAAGAGACGAGGGTAACTGGCCTAGCACCATTTAGCTGGTGAGGAGGAAAGCGTGACTGTGAATCCCACCAGGCTGGCTGCGAGGCCCTGTTTCAGAAGCGGACCCCGAGGCCTTCCACGGGAACATGGCTGTGGCCATTTATCATGAAATACATGCTGGAATTATAACTTGCCCGTGTGGAAGAATGTGGTGTGACAGTTAAACGGGGTTGACAGAGATTGCTGCGAAACAGGAAAATGCAGGATAGGAAATTATTTAAAGGTATCTTTGTTATTTGAAAACATATAAAGTACAAGAAAGCACACTAAGGTATTAGACATGTTGGTATTATTTTCTTTTCAATCTTCGTTTTATACATATCCTATAATTGGCATCTATTACTTTAGAAATCAGAAACATTTTTAAAAAGAAAGAAAAGGAAGAAAATTTAAAATTATGTAAAGGCAAGAAATAATATCAACATCCAAGTAAACTACTTGATGTTGATATTATTAGAAAAATCTCCAGAATTTCCACATGCAAGAAATTTAATATTCTATCCTCTTACATATATTTTATAATGATATTTTTCAGAATAACTTTTCTTTTAGAAATTAACTTTAATTTAATATCTTAATCTTTTAAATCTGCAACAAATATATTAGAAATTTTATATATACATATGCATAGAGTAGGGCAGATACCCACTAATTTGTATACTGGAATCTTAACATGTTTCATATTGAAACTGAGTTAAGTCATCAGAATGATGAGTCATCTCATAATAACTTAATCTCTCAGGAGACCTTGAACATTTAAAAAACCGCAGACCAAGAAAGCAGCAGCGCTCTTCAAGGCGGCCTTAACCTTAGCCAGAGGAAGCAGCCTTTTCCTTCTACCCTAGATAAAAGAACAGATAGCTAACAACAAACGTGTGTGCGTGTGCATGCGCGTATGAAGGGGCTGCTGTAAGTCACAGAAATATTCTAATTTCATTATGAACAGTTGGTACTTTCCATACTTCCTTTACATTATTGATTATTGTCTCTCGGAAATGACATCAAGTACTTGGCGATTTATTCATAAAGATTGATGTAAATGGCTTGGCAGCTTAGCCATTGAATGTTATTCAGAATGTGGGCATTTATGGGTTTTGTTGTTGTTGTTTGTGTGTGTTTTTGTTTTGCTTTGTTTAGTGAGGGAGGTGAGTTGTAACTGGTGAGAGAATTACTTTGGGCTGAGAGGCTTCATGCACCCAACCCAGGAAGTCTTCACAAACATTAGCTCTTAGATTGCTCAGTAATTTTGGAGACGGACATTCTTACCATCTCCATTTTGGAATGAGCAAACAGACAGACTTTTAAGTAACTTGCCCAAGGTTGCACAGTTTGTCATGTGCCCCAGAGACAAATCCCTTTCCATAATGCTGCGCATCCTCAAACAGTAATTCGAGGTGTCTGGTATAAAAGAAGCATGGGATGGCTGACCGGCTGGCGTGGCTCAGTGGTTGAGCATCAACTTATGAACCAGAGGTCAAGGTTCGATTCCCAGTCAGGGCACATGCCTGGGTTGTGGGCTTGATCCCCAGTAGCTGATGTGGAGGAGGCAGCAAATCAATGATTCTCATCATTGATGTTTCTATCTCTCTTTCTTCCCCATTTCTCTCTGAAATCAATAAAAATATTTTTTAAATAAAAGAAACATGGGATTATTTATAAAAAAAAAAACACAAACAAACAAACAAACAAAAAAACCCTCAGACCTGGTATAGGAGCCCAAACGCACCCTTCCTATTTATTCTACTTCTAAATTCGTAATTAGTAGGACAAAAACTTGGGTTGGAGTAAGATCGAAAGACAACTCAGATTTGAGTTTTTGAGTCTGTTTCTGTCTGGAATGTATGCAGTTCCCACTTTGTCTCTCCATTTTCCTAAAATAAACACATATGGGCAAATGAGTGCAGAAATATGCACACACATCCACATACCTGTTTCTCATTAATGAGTATCGATGAATTCTTACGATGTGCTAACCATTGTGCTGAACTTCAGGGAGACAGTTATGTAAAGTAGACTTTGTTCCTAACTTCTGCAACTTGTGTTCTGAAGAAGATGGATGAGAGAAAACAACAAATGGAACACACACACACACACACACACACACACTCCTACGGGGGCAGGATGTCAAACATATTTCAGTAGGTTGCAGATTTTCTATTAATACAGTTGTCCTCAACTTTGTTCTTGGAGGCAAGATTTAGTAGACCAGGCCTAAAACACATTAGAGAATTGTATTACCAGGGATTTCTTTCAATGCCAAACTTCATTGAAATTTTATTAATTCTACTTGCCTGAAAGTTCCAAGAAGACTTGGTGAGTAGACGGAGGTCTATGAACATTTTCTGGGTCCATTTTTAAAGCTCTGTGTGCCAGAAGATGTTTCAAATATGTTTTTATGTGAAAGTTCTAACAACCTGACTTACTCTGTTTTCCAGGAAACCTTTTTGAAGCAGAACCCTAAAATATGCAACTGGGACAACTGTCCTTGACGCTTTTGGTTCTTATGTTTAGGGACACCTCAGGTAAGTCATAGCAAGGTTTAGCTGCTTATTTTAGGAGGTGGCTATAGAAGATGCTGAATTTATTAAAATTAACGGGTGATTTTAAGTTTAGAGAGTTACTTAATGTTTTGGTGTCTCTGCTCTGGCACAGAGACTAAACACCCACAGGAGTGGGATCAAATAAAGAAACATATGGCTTTGTCTGGAAAGAAGAAAAGGCGGCCCCTGAGTTAATGTAGAGAGAGCAGTGTGAAACCTTACAGCCTGAAATAAATTACATTTGTCTGATGAGAATCTACTTCTTGTTGTTTGAAACTGAATATGTCACAGGTGACTTTTTACTGACTTTTAGAACATTTTACACAAGTTATCTCCTTCCCAAAATGAAGGCAAAGTCCCATGCCATAATTCAGGGCATGAAGGATGTCCGTGGGAACACCTCACAAATATTAAGAAAAATATTCTAGTCAGAGCAACTACCAGTATATATGAAAGACACACCTTAGGCCAGGGAAGTCAAGGAAGCTTTATGGCAGGTGTGGAATACCAATTTTAATTTATTAGCAGTGACTGCTTGATCACTTTAAAAAAATATTTTAAATTGACTTTTAGAAATAGAAGAAAGGAGAGTGAGAGAGAATCATCCATGAGATGGAAACATCTATCAGCTGCCTCCTGCATATCCCCTACTGGGAATTGAGCCTGCAACCTGGGCATGTGCCTGACCAGAAATCAAATCTCAGTACGTGGGATGCAGCATCTGTACCCACCACCATGCCTACCAGGGCAGTTGCTGGCTGAGTAGACTGGTTGAGTGCAGAAGCCCCTCTGAAGTCTTTGGGTTTCTGGCATCTTCTCTACAAAGACTCCTCAGTAAGGATGTTTTCGGGGAGGTGTGGCAACCCTGTCTTCTGTGGCTCCCCATGTGAGGAAGTTGTCGTGTACAACACTTTTAAGAAATTACACTGCAGGTGCCTTCTCCCGGGGCGGGGCCAGCCCTGCCTCCTCCTGGGGAGGGCCTATGGTTTCTCTGCCCTGGCTGATGTTCTGGAAATGCCTCCACATCGGGAAATCGCCAATGTCACCGTGCGTTTGATTTTTTCTTTTATTTTGCTAATCTTTTGAAGAAGCCTGTACTACACGTCCTCATATTAATGCCCTTGAAGGGGAACCTTTCTTTCTGAAATATTGCTCATCAATCCCTGAGAATGAATCAAGCACCACAAAGTGGCTCAAGAGCAATGGCTCACATGGACAAGCTGAGCTCCGCCCAAGCAGTTCCCCCAGAGTGACTATGCATGGCTATGCTTTGGAGTTTTGGCCAGTTGAGTTGGATGATAATGGATCTTACTTTTTCCAAATGGGGTGAGTATCCTGCTCTTCGCATTAGTGCATTCCACGGCACTCCAGGACTTGGTTCATATAAACAGTGGACAGTAATTTGAAAGGTCAGATATCCCAAGCACTGTGTTTGTCCTACTCTTCTTGCAATCAGAAACAAATACTTCATTATTGAAGAATCAAACTAGATGTTGCCCCTGTGTTTATGTTCTTAATGGTCTTAATGAGATGAAGACGATGAAAGGAGATTGCCTTTAAATTGTTTCCTTTTAGGGTGTTCTTGCCAAAGGTGAGTGGAGGCTGTGGCTAGAGCGGAGTGTGTGGCTGGGCTGGGACAGACTGTGTGAGCGAGAACAGGGCCAGTGCCTGCTCCCGGCAGTGCGGGCGCGGGCGGAGGGGGTGACGGGTATAGGTGCACCCGGTCTATCCCCAGGTGTTTGCTGAGGCCGGTGACAGTGGTGGAGGAGGTGTGTGTGGCAGTGGATGGCAGAGCTCTGCCCAGGGTCGGGGGAGGGGCGCACTGAAGGGCCTGGCACAGCCTTCTCCTGGCCCAAGCCTGCTGGCTCCCAGAGTCAGAACTTGTCCAGGGAAGGAGAGAACCGCTGGACGTGCTAGCTGCTGAGCGCTCTCTGTCCTTGTTTGATGGGAGTGGGGGGGGGCGGGTGCTGGAGAAGGAGTGCTCTGTGACGGGATTGCTGCCGACATGGCGGTCCGTGTTTACCGACTACTTTGGCAATCTTGTGTATGTACCGAGGTGTCTGTGTGCATGTGTTTATAGAGACCTGAGACCGACCTATAGGAAACAGCTCAGGGCCGGTGCCAGTGTGGGAGCACCTGGGGTGAGTCCTGGCGGATGGGCGCGGTGAAGGCAGTGAGAGGCCCAGTGAGCCAGGGTCACTCCAGTGGTTTTAGGGGTGAGGACACTGGTTTGTTTTTACATGTAGGCACCCAAGAGTCAGAAAGAAATTCAGGACTCTTGTTTTTTAACCCAGGAAACGTATGTGACCTTTCAGGAGACCTGATTCCAGAAATGAGTCACAGCCGGACTTTTCAGGGTGTCGGAGCGTGAGCGTGGCCAGCACGCACCCCAGCCTGGGCCGGAAGGAGCCTTTGAGCGAACAGGGCACAGGGCACGGGAGGGGCCCCTCTCCCTCGCCACACACAGACGGACAGGGACAGGGCATGGCTGTCTCCCACACGGAAGGTGGAGAGCACGCCTGCATCAGGGGGAGAAGTGGGATCTGAGTCTGGTGGCAGAGGGCGCGGACTGGAGGCCAGGAGGAGCCGGCAGCCCAGGCGCTCAGGGGTGGAGGCCGGTGAGTGAGACAAGACTAAGCGGGGGGAGGAGGGGTGGGAAGAGCAGGCTTGACCGTGGCTTTGAAAGTGAGTGGGAACCTTGAATGCACAGACTTTCTGAAGGTGGCTCAAGTGCCGTGTGTGCACGTGGAGCGGGCGCCTTGCAGGTGAGCGAGGCCCATGGCCGCTGAGGGACCTGTCCTGCGGGCCCCGCTCCCGGGCCGTCCCCTTAGAGGTGCAGCCTGGCGTCTCCAGGAAGCACTGGCTGGTGGTCACGGTCCCCTGGAGGCGCCCCTCCACTCTGGCAGCGAACCCCTGGGCCAGGAACGTTCTCAGGAGGAAACCCCCTGAGAAGGAGGATGCAGGCGCGTCCTTGCGGTCAGAGTCAGCGTGAAGGCGCGGGCACAGCGGTGGGCTGCGCGGCCTGGCGAGGGGCCGGTCTCTCCCACCCCTGTGTCGCCGGGGTGGTTCTCGCACCCGGATGACTGGCCCTGGCCGGGCCCTGGCCGGGCCCTGGCCGTCACCCTCTGGGTCCGGCTCAGCCGCAGCTCCCGTGGCTCCTGGAGACACAGGGCGGCCCTGTTTCAGACGAGGCCTGGGGTGCAGGGCAGCAGGGGAGAGCTTGCTGAGGGACAGGGCCGAGGGCTGCAGAGCAGGAAACAGTCTGACCTGAAGCTTGGGGCGGGGTCATCAGCTTCCCAGAGAGACCCCCCACCAGCCCGCCCAGGGCAGCGGCCAGCAGGGAGCACCGGCCACGCGGGCGGGAGAGGCCGCAGCTCCACACTGCCATGGCCCTGACCCTCCTGTAACCCAGGACCAGGAAGGCCTGCCCGCGCCTCTGCTCCCAGCCCCGCCCGTCCTGTATAAATTCACACGCCGGGGAAGGGCCAGGCTCGCACTGATGGTCATCACACAGTCTTTGCCAAAATCCTCCGGCCTTCAGGACCAAAGAGACGGGGTGCCTCCCGGCCCAGGGCCTCCCAGGCGTGTGCCGGGGAGATGCTGAACTCACTGGGGGGCGAACTTGCTCACTTCCCTCGGAAAGCCCGCCCTCACGTGCAGCCTGGACCAGGGTGCCAGTGGCTCTGGGCAGCCGGAGCCCTCTTGGGCAGACTTTTCACACACACGGGGGAACTGCTGGGTTTGGGATAGGACTCTACATACTGCTTGCACAGTTTAAGCAAACGTTAGATTGCGAACAGTTTTCTTCTAAAAACATTGCAAGATTTCTTTCTTTTAGATTTCTAATTTTTAATCAGAAGGAACAACAATATCTATTCAAATAAACGCTCATCGAGGCACGTAAGTGCTAAGGGACCCGCTGAGGGCAGCCCACATCACAGTGAGAGGAAAGCATTGGCCTGTGGCTTCGCCCTAAGGGCCCTGAGAATTCAGACTTCAGAGAGCAGGTCTGGCCTCAGAAGACACCGCCCCCTCCTGTCTTGGGTTAAGAACCCCTGAACTTGTTCATTGCCAAAATCGCTGATATTTAAAAAATTTCTGGTCTGCAATAGGCTGTGTGTGTGTGTGTATGTGTGTGTGTGTGTGTGCGCCACGTGTGTGTGTGTGTGTGTGTGTGTGTGCTGTCAGACCTGCTCAGGTTTATCTTTTTCCCGCCTTCTTCCCCCATCCCATGACAGTTACATTTCTTGCTACGCTGAACCTAAAAGAGCAGAGCAGAGTTTGGGCATCAGTAAATGAGTCTCTTTATACAAAAACAGGAAAAAATATTTGTTGCATTGGTTACTCAGTGATGGTATTTGCAAAGTCCCTGTACTAATTATAAAATATTATTTTAAAACCTTTATGTCATAGAAATCAAACTCATGAATGGAGATTAAATGTCATCAGAAGAAGTAAACACAACTGTTTTACTGAAAAACAAGTAATTAGTAAAACTGTGGAAGTTGGGAAGGCTTTGCAGGTGGACTGTAACCATAGTTACTATCAAAACCTGGTCAACAGAACGGCACTGTATAAGGTAACACTTTCAAAATGTTTTAACTTCTGACCTGGTAGAAAAGACGAAATTCCCAAATGAGGGTCTGGTGGCTGTGGAGCATTTTGTTCTGGGGCCATATGAGCTGTGTGACTTCAGGCAGGCAACTCACTGGCCTCTCTGAGTGAGGTGGCCGCCAGGGCTGCTGTGATGAGAGAGATTTGTATACATACATGTATTTTACATATACACATGCATTTGTATACTCACATGTATGCAAATACAATATACACGCATACATAAATAGCATGCGCGCACATGTATAACCCAGATTATATTATTTCTGTAGAAGCACAAGCGTGAAGGCCGTGGTTGCGTTGCACAGCTGAGAGAGGCTGGTCTGAACAGAAGACCCTGGGAAAAATGAAACCAATTTCCTAGAAACTTTTGTTTGTTCCTTTTGCGTGAACACTGTGTTTTTCAAGGACAGCTCTTATGCAAAATGTTTTCTAAATGTCTGAGCCAGTCTGCAGTGGACTTGACCCCATTTCCTGCCGAGCGTGCAGATGTGTGCAGCACATGACATGTGAGGCTCGGCGTGCGGGTCTCAGCAATCTCCACACGCAGACAGTGGCTTAGAGGATGGAGCTGGGTGCTCGTAGCTGGACATATGACCTCGGCTCAGTTTCCCAACCTGTTTACACATCCTGACCTCCTTGAGGGAGGGAGCAAGGAAGCTGATTCCATAAACAACTGACAGGAAAAAAGTAAGAGTCGTTGATATTTCAGAAGGGTCAGTTTGAGTTCATAAACATTCGGTGTCCACAGAAGCAATCCCTGCCGCCAGATCACATGGGTGCCTCCCACCCACGCTGCGCCCTCTGCCAGGGGCCACCAGCTGGGCCGCTCTGAGAGAGGAGCTGCGGGGACAGGGGCACACAGTCAGGATCAGCAGTTCAATTCCTTTTTCCCCAGCTGGTTCTGAGGTGGCTTCATAACCTGCCTGAGTGAAGAGGATTGCCAAGGTGGCGTTCCTGTTGTTAATCCCTCTGACATAGGTGGAAGTGTGAGATGCAGAGGCGTGTGCGCGCGTGTGTCTTGGACTTGAATAGTCTCCACGCATTTCCAATCAGGCACTGTCTCCTGGTGCAGGACATCGAACGGGGTGTCTGCTAAGTGCTCCGTCCTTGGAGCCACTTGCTCCCGTGCCCCTCCCCTCCCCCTGTCATTATGTAAAATTTTGAGTTCTTATAACATTGCTTTTACCTAAAATATTTTAACTTGCTTTTTAAAAACAGGACTGTGAGAAGATAGAGAACAATAAAAACCCATCTTTAAAGAAGAATGCAGAGTTTAAAGACCAGGGGTATTACACCTGCATGTTTTTCCTTCATCACAACGGAAAATTATTCAATGTCACCAGCACCTACAAAATAACAATAGTTGAAGGTAAGAGAAATTTTAGATCTGGGAGGAAACAAATGAGACTATTTTTTCTCCTAAAGCAGTACAGGAAGCTAGAGGCAAGCTAGTGGGCGCTGGGGCCACACCACTCACTGGAACGGAAGGCTCCCAGCCTTGGGGCTGTGCTCTCTGCCTGAGATTCCTGGGGAGGGGAATTAAAGCTCATAAAGGCGAACTTCCCTGAGTCCATTCCCTTACTCGGTATTTGAATAAGTTGCCAGTCTTTTTTTGTGAAGCATATGTTTTCCCTCGACAAACATTTACTGAGGGTGCCTGCATTTAATAACTTCTGAGCACTGGAGGGTGGGAGCAGGGACACGGGAAAGGAAGTGAGTAACATAGTCTCCCAAGAGCCTGATCTTACCAGGAAAGTGGTGAGCCTCACCGAGCTACAAGCTGGGTGAGGATGCCGATCGCCTCACAGTCAAAATCCTGGGGTAACTTCTGGTTTTCCCAAAACTCAACTACTGACAGCTAGGTCTTGGAGAGCAGCCTTACTTATAACACATATTTTATATGTCATATGCATTCTGTTCTTACAATTAATTAAGCTAGAGGGAAAGCACTGTATTAAGAAAATCCCAAGGAAGAGGAAGTGCATTTGCTGTATTTAGTGAGAAAGTCTGCATGCAAGGGGCCATGCAGCTCGGACCTCATTGTTCAGGGCCAGCTGCTCAGAGCCTGGAGTCACCGGAGGGCTGAGAGCGAAGAGAGGCGAAGGGGCTGCCGCCCATTCAGGCTCCGGGTGACGGGCGGCAGGAGGCCGGAGATTGAGGAGAGGGTGCCAGGAGCCAGGCCTGGGTGGGAGGGTGCAGTTTGGAGATGATGGCTCTCGCTCTGGTTTATCATGAACCCAGTGCACACAGTGGAAAATCTCAAGCCTGGGCTTTTGAGTGATGGAGGCTTGAGAGAGGACGTGATTAACCTTTCCCGGGGAAGCTGTCCCTTGCGTGGCCCAGGACAGCTCGTCCAGTGCGTCTGGGTGATGACCATGGACACCACCAGGTCCCAGAGGCCCGGATTGTACTATTTGGTATTGAGTCATTTTCCCTGTTGAGTCCAACAAGCCTCATGAGCCTCTCTTCGGTGACACACCGATGGGCTGGCCCCTCCTAACGTGCTTCCCCTCGACATGCCTCCCGCGTCTGTAAGACTCTCGTGGCGCCTCACTCCCCAGCGGGGACTCAGGAAGCAGAGCAGCTGGGCTGCGGCCACATGATCCTCTTCGTGTTACCTACCCACTGACGTAGCTGTGCTGCATGCATTGCTCACCATTCACCTGCCACACGCCCGCTGTCCCCTCACAACAGAAATCACTTCTCCAATGGTTCTGCAAATGGGAGTCTAGCAAGGTTTGACCGGGATAAAATCAAAGTCTGAGAAGGACTGCGTTCCTGTGGAGATCCTGGGGTGCCAGAATGGAATCAGCTCATGGCTCTTCCAGCAGCCCCGGGTGAATTAAAACTTGTTTGTGGCTCGGATGCCTCCTAGGATTAGTGAGCCTCATTCCACAAGTCTAGGCTCTTAGCCTCCCTGGCCGTTTTCCTTTGGCTGGTGATGTTTGCACCATGCTTCTAGAGCTGGACAATCACACTTCCTAATCCACTCAGCAGGCATGTACTAAGCACCTCCTATGACCAAGTGCCAGGCGTCTGTGTGGGAGATGGAAGGTGAGGGATCAGTTCGATCCCTTCTTTCCAAGAACGTCTCATTCTACTGCAGAGGCAGACACGTGACCACGCTCTGGCAGCAAGCCGAGACAGGAATGAGAGTATGGACACACAGGTGGAGGCACTGGAGCCGAGTCCTGAGGGACAGCTGGCAGCCCCCGAGAAGACCCAGCCCATGCTCTCCCTGACTTGGCACCATCTCAGTGCCTCACTCCCATCCCGCACTGCCCCCTGACTAGGAAGTATCTTGACCTCCCCTGAGGACATGGGACACTGAGCTCCGTGGTCGGTGTGGAGCAGGATCACCCATACCCCGTCAGGCTGTAGGTCTCTCAGCCGCCAGGACCTGAGCACGGGGTCTTGAGTCAGATCTCTCGCGTTTCCCATGCCTCAGAGCCGCCCTGTGTCCTGGCATGGGCTCCGGGCTCCTGCCTCACATCCCAGCCCAGGAGGCGGCTCTTTGGGGTCGAGTCAGCTCCCCGGGGATTCCAGACCTGCCCTGCGAGCCCGGATCTCAGAGGAGCCAGACCTGCTGGGGGTTCCCTGCCCTAGTTTCACTCTCCAGTTCCTGCCCACATGCGGCTCCACCCGCTTCTCCCTGGCACCTGCCCTGCCCGGTGAGAGTGAGGGGCGTGGGCAGTGCTGCGGGAGCCTTCCCCCCTCCCCCTCATTGAGGGCCGGGAGGGCAGAAAGGCCGCTCCGGACTTAGGTGTAAACGTCCCCAACACCAAATGTGCACCAGGGTCAGCCTGGGGGTACAGTGCCATCACAGGAGCAGCAGGCCTCGATCCTGTACTGGCCAGGTGTGACTGGCTCTGAGCTCTGCAGTGAGCAGCCGCTTCAGGTGGTCTCAGGCATCCTCAGCAGCTCCGGGGGTCCTTCCTGAGAATAGCCAAACTAGAGGGGAGCATCTGGGGGGAGAGGGGCGGGCAGAGGTCACCGAGGGAGAGAAGGAGAGCTGAGCCTGGGGAGAGGCACCAAGGCAGAGGCTGGGAGGGAGTGGAGGAGCCCCCCCCGCCCGGGGGGGGGGGGAGGGGAGGCCCAGCAGGAGGCACCGGTGGCCTGGCCTCCGTTCCCCCATGAGCAGCTCCCCCCCTGCTCCCTTCCACCGAGCACAGCAGCAGAGGCCGGGGCTTGACTGGAGGGAGAGCTAACGGTGAGCTTCCTCAGCCCTGTGCGCCCAGAGGGGATGGAGTAGTCCCCGCACCATCAGGTAATGCAAGCAGGACTGAAAGGGAGGCCGCGGTGGCCGGGTCTGTGCGGGCGGAATGAGTGGATTGGACCACCGGGCCCTCACCTCGGCCTCCCCCGCAGGAGCAATGCCAACACACGTTTCCTTCTCGCCTCAGGCCCCAGCACTGTCATTCCAGTCATCCTCGGACCCGAGGTTCGCCATGTGGAAGTGGAGTTAGGTATGCTCTCACATGCTATATCTGCACCCATGAATGGCCTTCAGAGTCTGCCACGGCCAAGCCTGGTCCTTATGGTCAGCGCTGTGTGTAACACACCGCACACGCAGGAGGAACCCTACAGAAGCAGCAGCCGCCATGGGCTGGGTGTTGCCAATTAGCTGATTGAAAAGAACAGCCTGGGATGGCCTGTGGTTTGCAAATCAAGGTTTTAGTCACCCTGCTTGTGGCTTCTCTCTGACAGTTGCCATGGTTGTTTTTAAGTGTGAAAACTCAGTAGGAACGTCAGGGACCTTATTCAGACTTGTCTGACTTGAGTGTCTGATTAACGAATTGAGCCCTGACTTGACTGCGCAATCCGGAATTGTCTAGAGAGATCTGGAGGGGTCAGCATCTTCTTTCGAAAAGAAAAGGAAAGAAGGAAGGAAGGAAGGAAGGAAGGAAGGAAGGAAGGAAGGAAGGAAGGAAGGAAGGAAGGAAGGAAGGAAGGAAGGAAGGGAGGGAAGAAGACATTTACAGTGTACACCAAGTTTTCGGTGAGGTGATTGAAATATGCTAATGAGTTAAATTCCTTAGCATCTTGGAGTCTTTCCGCGTCAGGAAGAAGTGACTGGAGCTCAGAAAGGTTCAGTGTTTGTCTGCGAAGCCGTGGCCATGGTGTAGGCGGGCTCAGGCTGCTGGTCTGGGCCCACCCGGCCGCGGGCCGGCTGCTCACCACACGCTCTGTGCTGCTCGGGCACCTGCTGCTGTGTTTGTGGCTTCCTGCTTTCTACTTTACTGCTTTATTAGTTTTCTCCTCGTTTGGGGCTTAATTTGCACCTCATTTCCATTTGTCTGCACAGAGAGTTAGGGAGTTATTTCCAGTTACTTTCTCTTGCAGTATATGCAATTTCAGCTCTATTTCTCTTATCACACCTTTAGCTGTTTGTTCCACAAGTACCGAAACACCAGATTTTCATTGCTGTTCATTCAAAACTTTAAAGAAAGTTTCTCTTATGATTTCCTCTTTCATTTATGGATTTTACTGTCCAAATATTTGGACAATTTTGTAGTTATTTTTCTGTAATTGATGTCCAGTTTAGTTCTATTATGATCCAAGATTATACACTATATTATTTTAATCTTTTGAAACTCATAGTAACCTGCTTAAAGACTAGAATATAGTGTATTTTTAAAATCGATTTCAGAGAGAAAGGGAGAGGGGGAGAGGGATAGAAAAAAATCAATGATGAGAGAGAATCACTGACAGCTGCCTCCTGCACACCCTCTACTGGGATGGAGCCCAGACCCAGGCACCTGCCCTGACCAGGACTGAACTGTGACCTCCTGGTTCCCAGCTCCACGTTCAGCCGCCGAGCCACTCCAGTGGGCGGAATACAGTGTATTTTGATGAATGTTCAAATGCATTTGAAAAAATGTGCATCGTGTGCACGTTTTGGTTTTATCGTCCTGTTAATGTCAAGTAGGTGAAGTTGATAAGTCATTTATATCCTTATTAATCTTTTGTGTGCATTCCTTATCTATTACTATGAGAGATTTAACATATCTAGGATAGCCAATTTGTCTATACATCCTTTAGTTATGTCAATTTTTGCTTTATGTATATTTAATCCTTGCCTGGGCATATTCCTATTGACTTTTAGAGAGAGGGGAAAGGAGAGAGAGAGAGAGAGAGAGAGAGAGAGAGAGAGAGAGAGAGAGAGAGAGAGAGAGAGAGATATCAGTTGCTTTCAGTAGATGCCCCAACCAGGAATTGAACACACAACTTTTCAATGCATGGGATGATGCTCCAACCAACTGAGCCCTCTGGCCAGGGCTTTGCTGTGTATGTGTTGAGGTTATCTGCTGTATTTCTGCTGAGGGCCACCTATGTGTTAATCACTTACTTAACATAAACTTGAAGAGAAACCAATTCGTATTTTGGTGATGAGTTATATGTACCTAATTTCTATGATTGATATGCTTTTCATATTTAAAACAAAGCATGTCTGTTTTCTTTCTAGAAGTAGCAATATATTCGCATTATATATCCATTAGCATATATTGATTATCTTAAGTTAAAACTCTTAAATATGAGTTTCTAAAATCAGAACTTTGGCCCTGACCAGTGTTGCTCAGTGGCCAGAGCACCAACCCATACATGGAAGCGTCACTGGTTTGATCCCCAGACCTGGTCAGGATGCTTATGAGAGGCAACTGCTAGATATTTCTCTCACACATTGATCTCCCTCTCCCTGCCTCTCCCTAAAATCAATGGAGAACATGTGAAAACAAAAACAATAAAATCAGAGCATTGTCAACCTCTCCTAGGAACAGACGTGCAGCTCAACTGCTCCGCTGCGCTGAACGAAAAGGACCTCATCTATTGGACCTTCCGCAGAGAGGACGGGCAGGAGCCAAATGAGCACGAAGGGGAGGAGGTAAAGGCCAGGTGTGTAGACGCCACGTGCGATGGACAGCATCACATGTGTGAGTGTCCCGGCCTCATCCGGGCTGATGTGAACACTCCGGACACCTGAAGAGCTAACGGAATGTTTGGCATAAGTTGTAATTTACGGTTATAATTACAATCCCCACACTCTGTGCAGATTGGGTGGTGCAGAAACTCATTGCTGAGATTTACCTGAGGAAAGAACATCAAGGAGCTCTTAGCATCGCCTCGCAAGAGTAGCCCTAGTCCGCCAGCTGACAGGGACCGAGGCTGAACCTGCGCCTCTTACAAAGGAGTGGCAACCAGCCACCAGTATTCGGATTGGGAAGATTGGGAAGATTCTGTTAAGGGCTTTGTTTTTGCGAATGTGCCAGAGTGAAGGCAGGTCCGGAGCCTGTGACATGTGCAAGTCAGCGTGGGCCTGTGCACAGAGGGTGTCCCCGCCGTGTCCGTGCCTCCTGCGAGCGGCAGGTCTGTGTGCACAGCGGCTCCGCATCCCAGCCCCGCAGGCCGTGCAGCTGCCGGCCGTCTCCACCTGTCCTCACACGCAGGCTTTCTCTGTCTGATGGTTGAAAACGATCCGTCGTGAGACACTTGAGAAATCCTAAAAATCACAGCGAAGGAAATAGTCGTGCAAACGCAGTGACTTGTGTGCTTTGGGAATTGCCTATGACATAGCCACCGGCTCCCGCCCTTTAGAGGCGGCTCGTGGCTCCGTATGGGAGCTGACCTGGCAGCGGTCACCTCCTAAGAAATTAGCAGAGCACTGAGGGATTGTATCAGCTATGGAAGGTTCCAGGGATTGTCTCAGCAAATCAGCAGTCACCTGGATTAACATGGAACACACTGACTATTTTCCTGTCAAAGTCCATTCATGGAAATTAGAAACACAGTGAGAACAGGAAGAAAAAGCGAACAGGAAGTGATGAGGTATAAGCATCTCGGAGGCACTGTTGGTGCAGAACACCTGGGCCACCTCTATTTCTCCATAAGGAGTGGCCAGGCTGCGGAGAACAAACACGCCAAGTGTGTGGCCAGCGTGGCCATTGCTGGTGCGCGGGTACCTCGCTCCTGGCCACTGCTCCCCCGCGGGGGCCACGGAGCCGCGCTCCCCCAGTGCCCATCAGACTCCTGGCGAGGCCGCAGGCCGCTGAGCAGGCTCTAAAGGGGGCTGGAGCCAGCTATGCCAGGAGGTCCCTCTCACTGTGGGGCACCAGCCTCTTAGGTCGTTGCTGGGCCTCTGCGTAGCCGGGGCCTCTCCAGGTTGGTCTGAGTGTCCGAGCGCAGGTGTTTCTATGCTGGTGACGCCGCTCCGCGATGCTGGGGGCCACAGTGGGCACAGCCCCAGGTGGGCACCTGCTGCGAGGGGCGGGGAGGCAGGCTGGGAGCGCTCCGCCTGCCGGAGCCCCTAAGGGCGGGGGCTGCCCTCACCCGGTGTGGACAGTGAGTGAGCCTGAGGCCGAGAGGAGCCTCCTGAGGGGTTGTGGTTCCTGACGCTCACTGGGCAGCGGCCTGGACCTCTCCCTGGCGGTGCTGGCACAGTGTGGTGTAAAATGGCTTTAAACACTGACCAGAATAACAGGGACCGTGGCATTGCCCGGCAGCGCTGTGAGCGTGGTCCAGGCCGCCCTCACAGTGCAGCCACAGCTGTCAGAGGCCTGGCTGCAGGAGCGGAGCGCTGAGCAGGTGGGGAGGAGAACAGGACAGAGATCTAAGAGAGGGAATGTTTCCTGTGTTTTGATTTAGTGCCATGTCCTGCCACGCATTTCCAGTTCTAGGTAGTTGCTCTCGGGGGCTGGCTCCTGGGCAGCAGGTGGCCCTGGGGGCAGGGCTCCGGGGAATGTGCTGCAGTGAACGAAGCGTCTGCTAACTTGCCTTCCTCCCTTACAGGACTTCAGAAGGCAAATGGCATGCTTCAAGAATATTGAGAATTGAGAATATTAATGAAAAAAACCTAAATTTTTCATATAATTGCACTGTGTCCAGCGAGAAAGGCCAAGACACCAAACGCTTCATCTTATTGACAAAAGGTTTGAGAAATGTTGGTTTGGGAAGCCTGGGGATCTGAACACTTGCTGAGGGGCCCCTCAGAGATCACCCCTTTCTCTCTGAGTACGCGAAACTGCTCCCACGAGGTATGCACACAGGGCCAGCCTGGCTGGAACCCCTGGGGCCCAATCCCAAGCAGAGCAGGAGGCACACAGTTCCCCTTTTGTCCTCAGCTCCAATCCTATGTAGAAGCCAGGGCTCAGAGCAGGGAGGCAGGTGGATGGTGAGGAGAGTCCGGGGAGGCAGCCAGTGGGTGTGCACCCCAGGACACAGGGGATTGGGGGTGGGTGGAGCACAGCTCAACATGGATGCAGCCAGGGGCACTGGAGGGGGTGCAGCCAGGGGCACTGGAGGGGGTGCAGCCAGCGGTGCTGGAGAGGGTGCAGCCAGGGGCACTGGAGGGGGTGCAGCCAGGGGCACTGGAGAGGGTGCAGCCAGGGGCACTGGAGGGCCCCAGCCTCCTGCTGCTGGGCAAGCATGGCCAGGGTGCTCATTCCTCAGTGATGGCTAACAGAGGCCTCCCTGCCTCGGGCCAGTCCCCAAACTTGGCGAGTGGACAATGGACGGCCTGGTCAGAGGACCCTGTGAGTTTTTCCTGAGCGGCCTCCATCTCCCACGAATGGCCCACCAATACCTCTGCCCACCAGCATGCCTGTGTGCAGGCGGAAAGCTGTGCTCCCATGACTCCTCACTTACCACTCCCTCCCAGGCCGGCACCACCCACATGCAAGGAAAGACTGGGATCGGAGAGAGAGGAAGAGGGGGTGGGGGGAGTGTGTGCTATCTGGCTTTGGTGAGAAACTGAAAGAGTGAGGGGCACAGAACCTAAGCCTGAGCCCCCCCTCCTGGGTGTGGAGTCCTGGTTCCCGTCCACCACTCACCTGGAGACCATCGGTCTGCCCGCACTCAGGATGCCTGGCACTCCTCACGCTCATTCACACAGGCCGTGCCAGGCTCCGACCGCTCACCCTGACCTGCACCACACGTCACACAACTGAAGACAGCAGAGCCAGACCCCACAGGTGTGAGACCCCAGTGGGGGGTGAGACCCACGGGCGGTGAGGCTAACTGCTGAGCTCAGGCTCCTGCCTCCTGTAGGCTCGTCACGATGCCCTTCCGCCTCAGGGGCACACGTGCCGTGGCCCACCGGCATGTGTGGGGAGGGTTTCCGACATGCTTCCGCTTGCTCATCACATGCCTGGGTTTTTGATGGCTCCCCAGCCACCTCCCCTCTTGTCAGTGCTGATGTCCTGTCCCTGCCACAGAGGGTTCCACCCCGCCATCCCCTCTGTCTGCTCACCGATGGCACCTGGCACAGGCCTCCCACTGCACCATGACCCCGCAGGAGTGTGCGGCCGTGTGAACGTGTGTGTGTGTGTGTGCGCGCGTGTGCGTGTGTATGCATGTGTGTGCATGTGCGCATGTGTATGTGTGTGCGGGGGGGTGTAGATATGTGTGCACATGTTTGTGTGTGTGCTCGTATGTGTATATATGGGTGTGCGCACCCGTGTGTATAGGTGTGTGTGCACGTGTTTGTGTGTGTGTGTGTGCGCGCGCGCGCGCGCACGTGCACGCGCACGTGTGCATGCAGCACAGTCAGGACAGGCCAGCCTTTCACAGGCCAGGATCCAGGGACTGGCTTTATTCGAAGTTCACTTAGCAAATGCAGTCGATTACTTATATCCTAGGAGTAAATGTCACTGGAAAGATCATTCCTAAAATGTGTGCCAAGATGTCAAGAGCTTTATACATTTCTACTTTTTAACCTGAAACCCCTCAGCGTTTAGAACCTGCTCTAGCAGAATCACCAAGCACAAGCATGTGGTCTGTGCAGCTGTTGGATGGAGCATTGGTAAATTTATAAACGTTACAATCAGCCTAAGTACTGGGACATTGTGAAGTATAACTGCACAGGCATAGGAACTGCTCATAATAGACTGCAACGCAAGAAAGAGTGTCTACCCTCTGGCCCCAAAGTCAATATTTTGAGGGAAATAAAAACCTAAAACAAAACATTCTAGCTTGTTAGCATGCCCAACACCCCATTGTGGGATGGTTGTTAAAAAGTGTTTTATAGTTTTTACTCTTTTGAACTATTTTGTATTCTCCATATTGAGCATGCACTGACCCAATCTGAGAACTGCAGTTTCCCCAGAGGGCTTACAGAAAGTGCACTAACATCGTAGGCTGTGCCAGACGCTGTCTCAGCTGCTGCGCCAGGTCTCATGGAACTCCACAGCAGGCAGCCCTGAGGGGAGCAACGAGTGCTGGTAGCTTCCTTACAGATTAAGACACTAAGCATTGAGGGCATCGGGGCGTTTCTCAGGACACAAAGCAGTGCAGCCTCGGGCTGGGAGCCCAGACAGTCTGGTTAAGTGTTTGCTCTCCCAAGACTCCCGCCTCCACTTACGTTCACAGCTGCTGCCAAGGCTTGTGTATTTCACCCAGCATCTTCCAACCCTAGAGCCCCACTGCCCCCCCACAGGGATAGGTGACAATAGGATGCTTTCAGTTCAGGCTCTGAATATCCCTGTGCACATTTCAATCTGTTAAAAATGGGAGTAGAAAGATCACCCCCCAAAACTGAAGGCAGGAACATGGAGCAGCTCAATGGACTGTTGGCCCGACAGCTGGTCAGTGTTCCCGGTGAACGCGGACATCTGCAGGCCGATGGTGGACAGCAATGTCCGTGACTAATTCTTCCCGTTTTCTCCTTCCTTCTAGATCGGAGGGACATCCCAGGCCATGTCTTCACTGGAGGAATGATCACAGCTGCTGTGATCTCAGGGGTAGTTCTGAGCCTAGTGATTGTGGCTGTTATTTGTAGAGTTGACTTGGCTCTATTTTGTAGACATCTCATGAGAAGAGATGAAACATTAACAGGTAACAAATATCGGAATGTTGGGATTTCTTATCCTATGGTTTCATTAGGAAACCTGATAAAAAAAACATTAACCTTCATCTTATTTACAGTAGGTTGTGACTTAATGTGTGGTAGGGGTTTCCAGAGGGAACATGGCTCTGAGTGCATCATTATTATGCCTCCTGTCTATGCCACCTTCTTTGTACTTAGATGCTGCCCCAATTGTCCTCTAATTGTTTCATGTATGTGTATGTCGTGTCCTCCTAACCGCCCTGTGAGATGCCTGCTCCTAGGGACTCAGCATCACTGTTTGCCACCATCCAGGCACCTTGCACAATGTGGCACTCAATAAAGGCCATGTAAGTTGATTTGAACTGTATGATGGCTCTTTATTCTAACCGGCAAAGGAGGCTGATGGGTGCCTGAAGGACTGGCAGGTTTTACTACTGTTTCTCTCTGGGACTCTGTCTAAACAGTTCCCCTGTTTATTAAGAGCAGCAAAAAGTCCTCTAGGTTCCATATAATTACTGAATTAAAATATCAGTCTAACCTGTTGTACTTGCTTTTGTTTTCATGTGTGTGTGTGTGTGTGTGTGTGTGTGTGTATGTATATGATGTGTGTAGGACACATACATTCAAAGCACACTCTAACAAATTGTAGGGAAATTTCTCAGCCTTTCCATGCCTCACCGCACCTCACCTCACCGAAAGTGTTGCTCTTCTGTTAAAAACAAGTCTTGCTGTATAACGCACACTGCTCTGAACTTGCTTCACTCTTCTAAGGATCTCCTGCCATGAGTTTATAAAGTCTCTCATTTTTTATCCATAGAAATAAAACCCTGCAAAAGTTTATTTCTGTGGATATGCCACTGCTTATTTAGTCACCTTTTATATATTTTATTGATTTTATAGGGGAAAGGAGAGGGAGGAAGAGAGAAACATCAATGATGAGAATATCAGTGATCGGCTGCTTCCTGCACACCCCTACTGGGGACTGAGCTCACAACCCAGGCATGTGCCCTGGACTGGAATCAAACCCAGGACCCCTCAATCTCCAGGCTGATGCTCTATCCACTGAGCAACACCGGCTCAGTGTTGATAGACATTGGTTGTTTGTAACCTTCTGTCATTACATGAAGGGTGTGGCAGATGGCTTTGTGCTGTCATTATTTCATAAGTGTGTAGTGTGACTGAAGGAAAAATTCCCCATAGTGGAATTGCTGGAAATACAAAGTTCAGATGCTGTTGTTATTTTTTTTTTAAAATATTGCCAATTTGCCCTCCCCGCTGCTCTCCTACTTCCTGCCTTCACAGGAGGGCACACCTGCTCCCACAGCTCACCCACCACCTGTGGCATCTGGCCAAACGCCAGGTAACAGGGGTAGCTCAGGGTGGTTTTCCTTGCGTGTCCCTCCCTGCGCAGGAGCAGGGGCAGCTTCGAGTTCTCAGAGTCTCGAGGTATTTCCTTTCTCAATGAGCCATTCCTTCCTGGTCCACTTTTTAATTGGGTTGTTTGCTTTGCTTTGCTCCCTTATTTCTAGGAGCAATTTCTATTTTATGGTTGTTAGCCTGTTATCTACAATATGAAAGGCAAATATTGTTCCCAGGTTTATTTGTCTTTTGACTTTCTTATGTGGAATATTCTTTAATGTATTCACATTTATTTTTCTCTTATGGTGCTCTAGTTACAAAGGAATTGTTATATTTTTTGAGATTTTAAAAAATTAATTATTCACATTTACATCTTTTAATTAAATTATATAAAATTAGCAAAGGTAATTAATTTAGCTTTGAACCTGCATGTGAGTGTGATTTTGCTATGGAGAGAGATGCTCCAACAAACTGGGGGGCCTGTTTTTATTTTTTTAATCCTCACCCAAGAAGTGTTTTTATTGATGTTTTATTGATGATAGAGAATCAATAATGAGAGAGAGAAACATCAACCCATTGCCTCCCGTACTCACCCCGACTGGGGATCAAACCCACTACCTTTCAGTGCATGGCTGAGGCTCCAACCACCGGAGCCAGGGCTGATGGTCTGTGTGGGATAGTTTATCGCCAGGTCTCCACAGGCACAGACCAGTATGCATCTCAGAATGGACATTCACTGATATCTCTCTTTCGGTTTTCAACTAAGGTGCTATTTGCCCTCCAGTTGTGAGTGACCCAGTGCACAGATCGCTTTCTAAACTCCTGTTTCCGAGCGGAGAGCTCAGGTCTGAGCGCCCGGGTGGCGCCTGGAGTCGGAGACGTACTCCGTGGCAGTGCTGCTGAGAGCGTGCTCCATGACAGAGAGCGGCCTGCAAAATAAAAATGGAGAAATGAGTGCGAAAATCAAGTCTTTTACATTAGAGCAATTTAATATTGCTGCACTACCCAAGAACATGTTCAGCTATTGGTTTATGAATAATTGAAAATGAAAGAAATCAATCAACAACAACAAAACTAAAGCTAAAACATGGCCACGTTCACAAGAGCTTGTCTAAGAAGCATCCTGACTCTCCGTGGCCCCAGACATCCTCACAGGCTGGTTTCGTTTACGCAGAACAAAATTATCAGCTTCCAATTTGCTTAGCGTGGCACCTCACTGTATTCATCAGTTATTTCAGCCACCAAAGCTTTCATTCCTTGGGTTGAAAAAAGATTTAATATAGATTAGTATATTTGCTAAACCAAGAAGAGAACTGCATAAAAATGAATTTGAAAGCTATATCACTATATAAATTTGACTGATGTATCTTTCCAATTTATTGCAAGTAGTACATTCCGATTATGCAAAAAAATATACCTTGTCACAAAGTGTACTCATTTATTTCTTGCATCTTGATGCCTGTTTCACTCACTGACATGATGGCTCTGCTAATGGAAGCACTAGCTCTCCTCCTAATGCACAGTTCAAGACAGGCTGACAGAACTATCCAGGGACCACTTACTTTATTAACAACTGGCTTTATTTTTCCAACTTGTAACCTACTTTGGATAAGCATGATAATTTTGCAACTTTGATGAAAATGCCCTGTCATTCACATGCATGTCTTCTGAAGAGCGATTGCTTTGCAATACACCCACAGTGGGCTCTGACTCACACTCAGGACAGGAGGCTGCGGGCAGCACTGAAGCAGCTTTTGCCAGAAACGGTTTCTTTGTGAACCTGGATGCTGTGAGGAATGGGGCCAGGCTGTTGAGCACTGGTGCCTCAAATATGTGGGCTCTATGGTTTCGTCTATTAAATTTCAATAAAGGAACTAATATTACTTAGTCTTCAACTCAGAAGCAAACTTATCAGTCCCAATCCTGGACCCGAGCATACATCTGGCTCCTCCATCAGCTAACCAGTTGCCCTGGGATAAGGATGGAGCGCCCCCTCTCCTCTCCTGGCCCCTCACTCGCGTGTTATTTAGAACACATGTCCTTTCAGAGCACTTGTCCATGGGGACTCCGCATTCTCTGACCAGATTATTTTTTGTTTTGTTTGTGTTACACTTTGTTGTGTCTGCTGATGTGTTATTTGTAAACTTTTCAAGTTGTTGCATTCGTCTGCGAACTCGTCTCTGACAAAATGGATAAAGGTAGAAGAAAGACATGTAAATAAATTGTTAGAAATGCAGTGAGTAGAATGGTCTTAGTTTCTAGGTAGCACATTCCTCTTGAATGTGTCTCTGGTCATTCGCATCCACAGCACTGCTTCATTGTCGGGGGTAAGAGCAGCAGATGTGTCGATGCAGACCTTCCCACTGACGGAGTATCCGCACTGGCAGTGGCGTTCTGTAACGTCTCACCGTACCAGCGTGGTTCCCTCAGCTTCCGTTCGCTCAGCTGTTTCCTCCCACTCTCCAGTGTAAACACTCCGCATTGATTTTTAATTTGTTTTATTTTTTAATCACAGTTTACAATCACATTGGTTTGATTGGTTTAATGAGCACAGCAACGTGGTTAGACAATCCTATGCCTTGTGAAGTGACCCCGACATTCCGGGCACCACCTGGCACACCCCTAGTGCATACAGCATCACTGACTCCGTCCCCAGCTGTGCTTCACACCCCAGACTATTTTGTAACGACAATTACCACCACTTCCTGGGGAGGTATGAAGGTGTACATGGGATGGTTATAGAATTGAATGACTGAAGTGGAATAAGCCGAGGTGACATTTGCTTTCTAACTGGGGCCCAGCACATACTAGAATTTGGGCTACTTAGTCCTCTGTTACCTTTAAACTCTGCTGTTTCTCTGACCTGTGATATGAATTTCTCTCTGTCCCTCTGTGATGTCAAACAGGGAGTCTCAATGCATATGCTTAAAAGTAAAAACACTTGCTAATTGATTGCTCAATTATCATATGAACTTTGAGGGTGCTATTTTTTGTTTTTTAATGATAATTGAATATAATCATTTTTTATTGACATTTTAAAATTCAGAGATTAAAAAAAAATCCTTTCTAATAAAAGAGTAATATACAAAGTGACCATCACTCCAACACACAAGATGGCTGCCCCCATGTGGACACAAGATGGCCACCATAAGATGGCCGTCAGGGGAGGGCAGTTGTGGGGGACCAGGCCTTCAGTGGCGGACAGTTAGGGGTGACTAGGCCTGCAAGGGAGGGCAGTTAGGGGCAATCAAGCCAGCAGCAGAGCAGATAGGCATATATCCGGCTGGCAGGGGAGTGGTTAAGGGGTGATCAGGCTGTCAGGCAAGTGAGTGGTTGGGAGCCAGCAATCCTTCATTGTGAGAGGGATGTCCGACTGCCCTTTAAGGCCCAACCCCAATGGAACATCTCTCAAGTGGTCCCAGATTGGAGAGGGTGCAGGCTAGGCTGAGGGACTCATCCCCCTCACTCCCTGTGCATGAGTTTCTAGTAAAGCATAAAAAAGAATAATAAAACCAAAGACTATGTAGGGACCTTACGGATTACCCAAACAGTCTTGTTTTTCAATTTGTTTCCTATCAAAAATATTTTCTTTTTTTTTTTAACAGCTTTGTTGAGGCATAATTATTAAACAAAGGCCTGTGCATATTTAATCTCTACAATTTGTTGTGTGTGGACACAAGGATGCCATATTTAACTTTTCTTTTTCAATAACTTCATGTTCGTTTTTCGTGACTTTTATTCAGATGTGAACTTAAACTTTTATTTACGCACTAATTAAAGGGACAAACCTTGCCTCCTAGATGGGAAGACATACGACGCCTTTGTGTCCTACCTGAAGGGCAGCCGGCCGGAGCCCGGGGAGGAGCGCGCCTTCGCGGTGGAGGTGCTGCCCCGGGTGCTGGAGGGGCGCTTCGGGTACAAGTTGTGCATATTTGAGAGGGACGTGGCGCCCGGAGGAGGTGAGAGAGGGCCTGGCAGGTCGGAAACTCGTGGAGACACTTTCTCTTATAGGATGATAGCTTAGGCTAGCCCTGCTTTCCTTAGAAACGAGCAGTCTTTTCTGGTCCTGTTGCCAGAAGTTACCGACAAAGTCAGCGTAGTGAGCAGTGAGGCAGGCTGGCCGCTCCTGTGGGGACCTGCCACTCGTGCGATGGTGGGTGGAGATGGGGGCAGCATCTTTAGAAGCAGGCCAGTGGGCACCTCAGGAGGCGGTCTCGCAGCCACTGAGAAGGGCCTCTGAGAACTCTTGGCTCAGTAGACGGAGCGGAGCACATGCTCCTGTGAGCACAGACAGCGGTGCTCTCCCCCCACCGCGCTGCCTGGGCAGAGTGCTTCGGTGGGAATAGGGATGTTGGAAAAATAGATAAAAGGAGATTGGTGGCTCACATCATGTTTGAGTTATAAAGTGCAGTTTTTAAATTTATATGTGAATACAAATGGTCATCATGCATGTCTTGAAGCAAAGCACAGTGAGAATCAACGATCATGAGAAGCAGCTCCTTGTTTTCTCTGAAGTCTGAAGAGCAAGCGTTTGGAAGTGGGTGCCATGGTGCTGCTGTATCACCAACAGTGTGACCAGGTCACCGTCCCTTCCTCGTTTCTCAAACTCTGGGCGCCATCGGTGTGCGGGTCTGAACTGGGCGTTGCAGACGTGGCAATAGTGAGAACCAGAGTGCCCGTCCTCTCCCTCCTCTTTCAGGAAGCGAAGATGTGCTGCCAGTATTGGCAGACAACTCCGGAAGGAAGGGCAGCCTCAGCTGCAGACACAGGGATACTGTGTCCTGTGCGTTAATGCATCCTAGAATGTAGAGAGCATCGGAGCTGGCCTTCACATCGTTTTATTATTTATCACTGGTTTCTAGCAGCCGTTTTGAAAATTTGATTTTTTTTCTTAGTTCCTAAATACTGTGAAAATGAAGCAGGTGTGTCCTCCGCGGTGATGGGCTTCCCTTACAGCCTCTGTCTGGAAAGACATCGAGGTCTAGAGCAGAGGGCAATGTCCCAGCCGCCCCAGACCTCGCCTCCTGCAGCAGGTGCCTTTTCAGTGCCCACAGCAGAGTGAGCAGTGACAAAAGCTGTGTGACCTGCAAAGCTGACATATTTACTATCAGGTCCCGGACAGAAAAAGGTTGTCAGCCTCTGGTCTAAAATAATGGCAGGTTTTGGTTTTATTGTCAAATTCTGATGTCAGGGTGCTCCTCCAGGTGTGGGGGAAGGAAGACAGTGTCACAGTCAGAAGCCAGTACTCCAGACAGAGCAGGGGCTTCAGATTCTGTTTCTGCCGTTTACTAGCTGTGTGACTCTGGGCCAGTTACTCAACCACTCTGTGCTTCAGCTTCTTCATCTGTAAAACGGGGTGTATTTTCTTTAGGGATCATGATGATTAGATGAGTTAATATACATAAGACAAGTAGTAAAGGGTGTGGCACAGAGGAAGTGATAAGAAATTACTCATTATTATTGTTACCTGATAATTGCTTTTAATAGGCATATAAAATTGAGAATACATGGTTTGTCTTAAGAAAAAACTTATTTGTGAGCTTCAGAGTTAAATAATACAAAGTTAGACTGTGCGGAATGATTTTTGCTTCATGCTCACTCTTTCAGTTCTCTTAAATTAATATTCCATGCCTTGCATTTTCAGCTGTTGTTGATGAAATCCATTCACTGATAGAGCAAAGCCGAAGACTAATCATCGTCCTAAGTACCAGTTACATGTTTAACGAAGTGAGGTATGAACTTGAAAGTGGACTCCATGAAGCACTGGTGGAAAGGAAAATTAAAATAATCCTAATTGAATTTGCACCCGTCAGGGACTTCACATTCTTGCCCCAATCACTAGAGCTTTTGAAATCTCACAGGGTTCTTAAGTGGAAGGCAGACCAGTCTCTCTCATATAACTCAAGGTTCTGGAAAAACCTTCTTTACCTGATGCCTGCGAAAACGGCCCCACCACGGGGAGGTGAATGCGAAGCTGAGCCGGTGCTTGCCGGAAACTGCCCTTAGGGAAGTCTGTAGCCGAGCTGCCAGCTCGGGGGCTGAGGAAGGAGCCTGCTCCAGCCATGGGCGTGGTGCCTCCATTTCACTCCACGGAAATCCCGCTCCTGGTTCCAGCAGGAAGCTTCGCTGGGCTGGGCTGGGCTGCTGGGAGGAGGCCCCAGCGAGCTTCCTAGGCCCCAGGAGACTCTGGACGCTACAGAAGTAGCTCTCCCATCTCTTCCTATTCCACAACTGGGTATGCAACATGCTCTGCTCCACCATGAAGCTCCCAGTTCCACCAGGAAGCTTCACGGGGCTGGGAATGATCAACAGGCTGCGTGCCTTACCAAAAGGCACAACTGTCAGCGTTTTGAATGCTACCCATTGAACTAACGGATTTTAAGTTTATGAAAGGGCATTTCTATGAGCCAATAGGGGACATCGTGACAGGCACAGTGCCACATGTCACTCTTGCACATAAGCCACCACCTCCAACACCGGGACAGTGCTGGGGCGCTGGCTGCGGCTGGGCATGGGGAGCTGCGCTGCAGGGCCAGGCTCCGGTGTCTGCGTGTGGCCGGCCACAGCTGCAGGCCCGGATGGTTGGAGCTGCCTCGGCTCTACGCTGGGCAGGCTTCACGGGGCCGGTTTGTAGGAACTTCTCAAAGGCAACCCCCAACAACTACCTTTGAGGATAAACACAGGTTTTAATTAAAATAATTCTCCAGATCTTTCCAAATTGGTCAAACACATTTGTTGATTTTACACAAATATTTACGAACAGGATGGGTGCCAGACCATATCAGCCGCTAGGCAACAAAAAAGGATCGTTAGTTGCTCGCTTTGTTAGGTTACATGTTACATGCCTGCGGTGAGAGCAGCATGGCTGGTGGTTTGGTGTGAGCTGTGCAGCCAGGATGCGTGAGCCCAAGTCCTGGCTTTGCTGCTTGCTTCTGTGAACCCTGTACCCTTTCCTAGTGGATCTATGCCTCAGCTTCCTCTGCTGTAAAATTATCACTATACCCACTTCAGGGGCACTACATGAATAAAGTCCCTACAATAGTTCTTGGCCAGACTTAACATTCTGTTAGTGTTGTTATTACTGTTACTGTTATTATTATTTATTACTTAGATCATTTTTTTAATTGTTACTCCAGGATATGTTTTTATTGATTTTCTTAGAGAGGGAGGAAGGGAGAGAGAGAAACACCGATGTGAGAAACACCAGTCGGTTGCCTCCTGTATATGCCCTGACAGGAATCGAACCCGCAGCCTGCACTGGACAGGATGGCGCTCCCCATGAGCCACCCAGTCGGGCTAGGTCCATGTTTCAGCTGCAGGGTCCCCTGGGAGCCGAGCACAGCGGGGAAGAGCCAGGAGCAGGCAGTCGCCCTGGACAACAGCTGTGCACAGAGGGCATGTGCAGGAGCACCCGAGGCCAAAGGTCGCTCTTCACTGCACGTGTGCACGTTGTGACATTGCGAGACATGCCTGTCTCCCTAAGGCGCTGAGAGGGGCCTTCTTGGTGCCTCACAGTCAGTGGGTCCAGGAGAGGCCCAGAGGGAGGGACAGACAGCCAGAGAGAAGGACCGGCGGGGGAGTGTGGCGGGCAGACAGCGTGCTGCTAGAGGTCAGGGGCGGCATCCCCAGGTGTCCAGAGTCAGGAAGTCTTGACCGCCCAGAGCTCACAGTGCGTGTGCGAGCCGCTCAGGCACAGAAAGCACAGAACTGTGTTACAGGTCTTAGATGTGAACTCACACGGTCAGGAGAAACCTCATTGCTGTCATCATTGTCTCTAACACCTAGGATAACTGTGCTTTGCTCTTTCATTATGTATGCTTTAACATATACTGGATGTATTTTTCAGTAAAGGTATTAAATATGTGCACTCAGTGTGTGATTTAATGTGTACCAATGCTGATGCACCACTCATCTGGTGGCCTTGGTTTGTAAGGTCTGTCTGTGTCGTTAAGATCCAGGCCTCTCTCCCAAAGACCCGCCTGTGGGACCGGATGATCCCTCTGCGCCTCCCCCCCCAGCCCCTCCCCCGGGCTGCGGACTTGCCTCTGCACCTCAGCCTCCCCCTCTGCAGCTGCGGCCCAGCGCAGGGCCAGTTAGTGAGCCTGCAGCCAGTATGCAACACACCTCCCCCTGGGACAGAGACATGGCTTCCACCGATGGAATGAAATCCTTCTCTTCTGTGACTCGCATGCCCTTCGGGGGTGGCATCCATCCCTGGAGCCAGGGACAGGGCAGCTCTCCAAGACACAGGAGGAATCCAGGGGCACTCAGTGCACTGGGGGCAGGAATGAAACCAGTTCCCTCTTTGAGCAGGGCCCTCAGCACCCACACGCCCTCAGAGCAGGGCCCTCAGCACCCCCACGCCCTCAGAGCAGGGCCCTCAGCACCCACACGCCCTCAGAGCAGGGCCCTCAGCACCCACACGCCCTCAGAGCAGGGCCCTCAGCACCCCCACGCCCTCAGAGCAGGGCCCTCAGCACCCCCACGCCCTCAGAGCAGGGCCCTCAGCACCCCCACGCCCTCAGAGCAGGGCCCTCAGACCCACACGCCCTCAGAGCAGGGCCCTCAGACCCACACGCCCTCAGAGCAGGGCCCTCAGCACCCACACGCCAGCGCCAGGAACTGCAGTGAGTGCTGGGCCGGCCTGGGGCACCCGCAGCCCCGTGAGGCTGGGACAGAGCTGCCGCGCTCTCTCTTTGGAGCTGCCTGTGGACAGTGCTGGGGGGAGGGGGGGGTGCTGAGGGACCTTGCCTGGGGGCACCCACTGGGACTGCCCTGCAGAGAGGAAGTGGCCGCTTAGGGCTGGCTCTGAGGAGACAGGTGAGCACAGAGCCTTGATTTCTGCTAGGCACCCCCGGGAGGGTGCCGGGCAGCACGGAGACCTCTGCAGGACCCGGGAGCACCTGGCTGGGCTTGCCCCCTGTGGCACCCGCCTGGGGAGGGGAGGCAGACCCCACAGCCAGCAGCTCCTCTGTCAATGCTAAAGGGTGGGGCAGGGGCTGACCAGGGCTGTCTGCAAGGAGCGAGGAGACCCACTCCCCTGCGTGCCAGCCAGCGTGCTGGTCTGGGCCGGGACCTGGCAAGCTGTCCGAGGCAGAGTCGAAGCAGGCCTCCCCATCAGGGCAGGCCAGCTGGCCTACACCCACACACCAGGCCTCTATCCTATATGATAAAGGGTAACATGCAAATTGATTCTAACAGCGGGCCGACCAGAACGACCACTTGACAATTCACTATGAAGTGCAGTTCAGATTGAATGTGTTTTTCTGTCCTGTCTTCTAATTCACTAATTCGGTTCTCTGCTTCTCCTAGTCTACTGTTGAAACCTTCCTTAGTGTTTTTTATTGCAGCTATATAAGTCTTCATTTCCTCTTGATTCTTACATAAGTTGTTGATTTTTTCATCTATCTGGTTTATGAACTGTAGAACTCTTATTCTGAATCCTTTTTCTAACATACTGCATACCTCTGTTTCATTTAAGTCCTTTCCTGTTGAGTACTCCTTTCTTTTCCTTTGGGGGTTGTTTCTTTATCTCCCCTTTTTCCTCTCACTGAAGGATCTAGGCATCAAGTTGTGCATTGTCCATGGTCAAAGCAGCAGGCCATGTGGTCAGCAGGCCCAGGGTTGAAGCAGCAATCTTGGCAGTGACTTGCACAATCACCAACCCAGGGTTGATGTGTAGGGCTTGGTAGTAGTTTTTGCCCAGTCCCAGGTCCAGGGTTGATGCTTTGGGCTTGGTAGTGGCTCCTGCAGTCATGGCGCCCAAGGCTAGAGTGGTGGGCCACATAGGGGAGCATGCTATGGAACTTACAGGAGCCCACAGCCAGGGAGCCTCGAGTCTCAGTGTCTGCAGGTCCAGGTCCCTGGCCAGAGTGTCTATAGGTTCCCAGGTGGTGTTTGAGGGCACCCTGGCTTGTGGTCAGGCTGGGATCCCAGTCACAGCAGCTCTGTCCTTCAAAATGGTGTGTCTGTGGTGGCAGAGCCAGCCACCCTAGATTTAATTGCAGCAGTAGCAGAGGCTATCCAGCTATGCGAGCCCAGTTGCACAACCCCTAAATATCCTGTGATCTAACCGTCCCTCACTCACACACACAGATACCCCACACATCCACACTCTCCCATTTTGCTCCTTCCCTCATTCACACTCACTCCCTCACTGCCATCCTGCCAGCCACCATCTTAAAAAAATAATTAATAAATTTTAAATTATGTGCTGTTGTGCTGTTATGAAATTTTGTGCCTTCCCACTTTGTTCTGCTGGGCATGTGAGTCATCCCTTTGTCCAGTGTATCCACAGTGTATAGACAGGCTACCTGTTCATTGTCTCTCAGTATCTATCTGATTATAATACACAGAGAGAAACCACATTCACATAACTTTCATAATAGCATGTTGTTTTATTTTATTATAAATTATTATTGTTAATTCCTTACTGCACCTAATTTACAAACTAAAATTTATGAAAGGTATGTATATAAACATAAGAAAAGGCATCAGATATACAGGGTTTGGTACTATCCATGGTTTCAGGCATCTACTGTGTGTCTTGGAACATGTTCCATGTGCATAAGGTGAGATTGTTATATGTCAATTCTCTTTCTTCCATGTCCTTTCTCAGATTCTGCTGATAAGTCCTACCTGGGTCCTATGTTCTCTATGATAGCTTTGTGACTACCTTACCTATATATCCCTTACTATTTCTTGCAAAGACAGGTGGGTAGGTGCTTTGTAGAGAACTCATAAAAGTTGTTTCCTGCTTGCTGAAGTTTTTTCCAGTCTTCATCTGAGAATGAGTTTGAAGGAGGAGATTATAGGTAAAAAGGAAACACTAAGAAATTGTTTTCAAGAAGAATGGGAAACTTAATGGACTAGAGAAATATAATATACTTGTCAAGAATCATTAAACTCTCCTTTGAGAGTGAGGCTAATCAGCACAGCTGTGTTTTGTCAGTGATGTTGAGCTGTGTATGTACAACTAGGGAATAGAGTTAGTACAACAAAGAGATTGGCAAGTACTAAAGTCATATACAAGAGAGTGATAATAATGAATAATAATAAAATTTAAGTGAGAAAATGCAAGTGTAGAGGGGAATAATTGAAAATTTGATAGGATCAGTATGAGCTTCTATGACTAAATAATGGTAATTAAAATTACTGTATTTTAGGTAGTAAGCTGATAAGAGGCAAGTATCAGGGAGAGGAACACTTGAAATGGAGGTTATAGAGGCCTAACAATTATTAATGATGAGTCTATGTTGTGACCTGAGGTTGGGGGTGGAGAACAAGACATTTTGAAGAGGAAAATGGGATGTTCCATGGAAATGTTCCGTGTAAATACGAACATTGGCAAGAATAAGAACAAGAAGACCTCTGAGGAGAGTAGGGTGCTAATGTCTTCAGGGAATAAAGTGACCCAGAATTTGTGAATAGCCTCAGCAAGGCAGGTTATGGGTGATAAAGGCCATCCTATTCAAAGTTGTGGATTTTTAGGATGGATGAAGGTATAATGTCTGAGAAATCAGTGGTTTGAAGGGTCTGAGAGAAAAAACAACCATCATTTAAAAAGAAACTGTTGTGGGGAGAGTCCAACAGCAATTGATGGGGGAAGGTACGTAAATGAATGTCTATGGAAGAGACTGAAGATGTTACTGATGACCAATTTAACCATCTACACTGGAGTTTAGAGACAAAAATTAATGAAAATTTGTGAATTACTCCCAGACTCAGTCCCAAGGCCACACAGGAGCCCTTCCCCATGGTCTGCTGGGCATACCTTGCTGGCATTTACCACACAAGAAAGGATCTTCATGTGTCCAGCCTCTCTCTCTCCAACTAAACTGTCTTTCCCCATGGGATGCTACTATCACATTTCATGAATCCAATGACAATCAATCTCAACACCTGTAGTGCTCTATCCAGTTACAGAGAAATAAATGAAGTAACAAGGACAGTTACTAGGAAAATACCTCGCATATAATAGATGTTTAGCAAACATTCGTTAGATTGGAGTTATTATTGTAATTATTTATCTGAAATTACTTATCTATCTTCCAAATATGATCTTTTTGAGGGAAGAGATTGTATTTTATTTCTCCTCTATCACTTTTTTCTGATATAATAATAGACACACATAAAATGATTAGACATGAATTTACAGAATGATCTCTTTTTTAAAGTCATCACCAGAGAATATGTTTATTTGTTTTTAATTTATCTTTATTGTTGAAAGTATTACAGCTGTGCCTTCTTCCCACCCACATTGAAAGACAATATCACATGATTCACTCATCTGTAGAATCTAATGAACAAGAGGAAATGACAAATAAGATAGGTCCAGAGACAAAGAAGAGAGGAGAAAAAGGCAGGGGAGGAAAGGGGAAAGAAAGGGGGGGGTGGAAGAGAGACGGAGAGAATGAGAAAGCGCGAAGCGAAGAGATGGGTTAGAAAGAAGTAACGAAGAGAAAGAGAGAGCGAGAGAGAGAAAAGAGAGGTAAGAGTATGAAAAGAGATGAGAGAAGCGGAAAGGAGCAGGAGAAATATAATAGAGAACGGAGAAAAGAGAGTAGAGAGTAGAGAGAAAGAGAGAGAAAGAGAGGAGGCAAAGAGAGAGGAGAAAGGAGAGAGAGAGAGAGTGAGAAGTGAGCAGAGAGGATGAAGAGAGGACGCCGAGAGAGAGAGAGAAAAGAGAGGAGGAGCGAGGAAAGAGAGAGAGAGAGAACGAGAGGAAGAGAGAAAGAGAGAGAGAGCAGGGACGAGAGAGGAGCGAGAGATTAGAGGTAGGGAGAGAAAGAGGAGGAGAGCGATAGAGGGAACGTGGAGGATATGAGCGAAAGATG